ACTTTAAAAGTATACCCTCTAGTTTTGAACTCCCCTACCCTAGAGAAAGACCTTTGCTATTCACGTTACCTACGCACCTTATGATTTTCATAAAATTCTATAAGGTTACCTCTCAACCTCCTATGCTCCAGTGAAAGAAGTCTCAGCCTATCCAGCCTTTCCTTATTATTCAAAACATTCAGTTCTGGAAATATCCTTGTAAGTCTTTTCTGAACCATCTCAAATTTAACAATATCCTCCCTATAACAGGGGGACCAGAACTGTACACAGTACCTCAAAAGTAGCTCAATAGCCTGAGCCAACTCAATAGTCTGAGCAATGAAGGCAAATGTGCTAAATGCCTTCTTAACCACCTTTCACAGAAACTATGACCTGAAACCCTAGCTCTCCCTGTTCAACAACAATATCCAGAGTCTACCATCATCTTACCAAAATGCAGCACCTTGCATTTATCCAAATTAAACTCCATCTGCCATTCCTCAGCCCATTGGCTCAATTGATCAAAATCCCTTTGCAATCTTAGATAACCCTTTTCACTGTCCACTATACCACCAATTTTGGTGTCATCTGTAAACTTCCTAACCATACTTCCTAAATTCTCATCTGAATCCTTTATATGAATTACAAACAACAGTGGACCCAGCACAATCCTTGCGGCACACTGCTCATTACAGGTCTCCAGTCTGAAACACAACCCATTTCTGATGAAGGGTCTAGGCCCGAAACATCAGCCTTCCTGCTCCTATGATGCTGCTTGGCCTGCTGTGTTCATCCAGCTCTACACCTTGTTACCTCAGATCTTCCAGCATCTGCAGTTCCTACTATCTCTCTCCACAACCACATTCTGTCTCCTACCATCATGCCAATTTTGAAACCAATATGCAAGATCTCTCTGAATCCCATGTGATATAACTTTACTAACCAGTCTACCATGTGGAACCTTGGCCAAAGCTTTACTAAAGTCAATGTAGACAACGTCTACTACTCTGCTGTCATCTATCTTTTTGGTCATATCCTCAAAAAACTCAACCAGGTTTGTGAGACACAATTTCCAATGCACAAAACCATGCTGACTTTGGCTCCAAATGTGGAACATTCAGACCCAGAGTTATGCTGAGTGAGGTGGTCCCTCCTGTGTGTCCCTAATAGACCTCAGCAAGGGGTGAAGTGATTTTGATCAAAAGCCCAGAGAGGGCTTCTTCAAGCATAACAGGAGAGTATCAAATTCCTCCTATCAAATCCCCTACTTGAACCCAGAGTGAGGCTGCCAGGGTTAATCTGCTGGTCTTGCCAATGGCAGGACCCTCTATTTGCTAGTAAAATGGTGGCAGGAAAAGTTCTTCTTAAAGACGATTACTTGAAAACTTAAGGTCCTTATTAGGTCCGATGTCAGATGGGCCATCCACCTCCAAACCTGCCATTGGCAAAATATGGCAAGGCAATGGTTGTAGTGTCCCATGACATCCCAGTAGGTTTTTTCTAATCTACTTCCACTGAGAGATAAGGTAGAAAAGCATGGAATTTACTCTGACTTTTTCACATTGTTTTCATACTGTTCCAGTGTTGAGTATCACCATTGGGAATAACTTGAAGCACTAGGGTTTAAAACCTAATCTAAGATACAAATAATCTGTAGAATATTTAGAAGCAAAAGTACTCCAAAGTACATTTCTTTCTGCATTATGTTCTGATCACACCACCAAAGAAGTGAATTACCTGCACCCAACTCAATCTAGTCTACTGTATTCACTGCTCAATGTCAAGTTCAATCATTTTAGGCACGAGCACCTTCTCCCATGTCCTTACCCAAACCCCCACACACCAGGTTTTGTCATCACATGGAGCTGCTACCACACACAACAATTGTTAACTAGTAAGAGTCCCCATTACCAGCTCATTCTCCCAAGCTGACCTTTACCCACTCCTCTGTCTGCTCAACTGTTTTTCTCTCTCTTTGGGCTCTGTCTCCACCTATTGTTTACTCCTCATAAAGACACAACTTGCTTGAAAAACTCAAAAGGTCTTGCAGCATCTGTGGGGAGAAAGCAGAGTGAGTGTTTCAAATCCAGTGACCCTTCTTCAGAACCCTTCTGTTTTTGTGTTTGATTTCCAGCGTGTGCTGTTCTTCAGTTTTTTTGTTTATTGATCACTCCTCCCCTCTCCCCCATCTCATCTTCAGCATATATACCAACCTCTTTCTAGCTACAACCAGTTCTAAAGAAGGGTCATTCAAGTGGTGCACTAAATTTCCAACAGTAGATATATTTCTCTGTTGTTACATCCATCCATAAAAAAATCTTTTAATGAAATATTACACAGATTCATTTTTAAAAAAAGAGTTTTCTATCAACCTTCGGTGTTCCATTCCTTCCAAAATATTTTCATTTGATAATTAGTACAATGCTTGACAATATCAACATGCAGCCCAGCTACTTATTTATAAAATAAATTCTTTATCATTAAACATCTTTCTGGCTTTTTAAAAAGTATTTCCTCTTCCCTTTTATGTGTCCATTTTTCTTTCATTATCTAAATATTTTTACCATTGTATCTATTTAAAGACCATTACTGTGATTTAAGAACTTCATGCAAAATAGCTGCAACCTTGCAAAAAATGCACTGATGGAAACGCAAATCCACTGGACTGTTAGAATTAAATATCAAATTGAGCTAACAATTATTGGGATATAATCTAGTAACTAATGCTATTTTTTTCTAACATCTGAATTACCTTTAGATGCAATAAAAATCAAATGCTTGCTTCTTAACGTCATTGTTGGTTTGGTGTTTGCATTTTTCCATATTTTCCTCCAATTTTTCAACTCTCTATCTTTCATCTGTGTAACAGAATTGAGAAAGAAAGATGTGGAATTGTTGCTATTTCTGCTATGTAGGGCAACAAGAATCCATTCACACTTTCGTGAGTTGTAGAAAAGGAAGCATCATGACATGTGGAACTGCTCAATAAAGCAATTTTCATATTTATAGGTTAGTCTATGTGAATTTGCCTACACTTTACCCATAAGCAAATGTCTTTACCTCAACATTATGGATCTATTCTAAAGTTATTCCTAACTAATTACAACTAGATCTTCCATCTGTCATTCTGTCAACTGTTCGACTTGACCCTGATTTTTAGTCACAGGGACAAGAAGTCAGGTCCTAAACAAAGATAACACAGTATGGAGCTGGAGGAACACAGCAGGTCAGGCAGCATCAGAGGAGCAGGAAAGCTGACGTATTTTCTGAAGATTTTTCTGAAGAAGGGTTCCGATCCAAAACGTCAGCTTTCTTGCTCCTCTGATGCTGCCTGGCCTGCTGTGTTCCTCCAGCTCCACACTGTGTTATTTCTGACGCCAGCATCGGCCATTCTTATTATCTGAGGTCAGAAATAAGGGTGTTTTCTGATGATTGCATAGAGTTTGCAAGTGAAGATATTGAAGCAGTCTTGCCCACATGCAACAAGACTGGACAATCCACCAGGTTTAAACCGGTAAGGGACAAGTAACATTCTCACCACACAAGTACTAAGCAGTGACTATCTCCAACAAGACAGAATCTAACCACCTCTCCTTGATGATCAATGGCATTACCATTGTTGGTCCCCTAACATCAATATCCCAGAGTTCACCATTAACTAGAATGTAAACTTGTCTAGCCATTCTATGGTAAAAAGAGCAGGTCAAAGGCTGGGAGTTATGCAGTGAATAACTCACCCCATGATTTCCCAAGTCCTAGTCATAAATCCAAAGGACAATTCAAGAATGTGAAGGAATACTTTTCACTCGTCAGGATGAGTCAAGTTACTGAAGGGTATAGATAGAGTTAATGCTAGTTGTCTTTTCCTTAGAAAATTTTCCTTAGTGATTTCAAGACTAGGGGACACACTTAAAGGTGAGAGGAGAGAGGTTTAAAAAAGACATGGGGGCAATTTTTTACACAGAGGATCATTTGTGTGTGGAATGAACTTCCTGAGGAAGTGGTGGATGTAGATACAATTACAATGTTTAAAAGACATTTTGATAAGTACATGAAGAGGAAGGCTTTGGAGGGATAAGGGACAGGAGCAGGCAGTGGAATTAGTTTAGTTTGGGATTATGTTCGGCATGGACTGGTTGGACCAAAGGGTCTGTTTCTGCACTGTATAATTCTACAACTTGCGGACTCTATGACAGTAAGGAAGCTTGACATTGTGCTATAAGAAAGAAGCTCAGTTGATTGACATTCCACCACACTTGATACACTTGCTGGATCCATCACTAGTGCACAGTGGAAGTGGAATGTCATCTAACAGAATGTGCTGCAACAAATCACCAAGCTTCCTTTCACAGCAACTTCAAAACTTATGACCTTTACCACTTAGAAGAACAAGCAAAGTAAAGGTATGGAAATACCTCCATCTGAAAGATCTCCTTAAATTCACATACATCCCTGACTTGGAACTATATTGCCATTCCTTTACTGCCGCTGAGTTAAAATCAGTGAAATCTGTAACACTAGTGCGGGTATATACACAGCATAATGACTGCAGCAGTTCAGAAAAAGTAACTCACCTTCTTACAGCAATTGGGAAAGGGCAATAAATGTTAGCCTTCCCATTCATGCTTAGAACCCAAAAATAAACAGAGTAAATTATTTTTCTTAGCAGACCCTTGAACCACAGAGGATGGTTGACATGGAGAATGTCAAGATCTTGCCCATGAAGAAGCCATTGGACTATAGCTGCCCCAGGAAAGATTTTGGCTGACAGGAAACTCTTCTGCTCTTACTACATGCCATAGGCATACTGGAAAGATTTTCAGGCTGAGTATCAACTGGTTTGGCTACGTTATGACTCTTATCTAACATGTCCATCAAGTCCCAGAGTGGGACTTGAACATGGAGCTTCTAGCTCAGATGCTGGGAAATTACACATCACAGACTTCACTTCTCTAAAAGAAATATATACAGATTTCAGATTAAAATATCAATGCATATGTCATATAAAAACACACAGTTGCCTCACTGCAATTTAATTTTAATGTTATGCTTTGCATGCAGTGTACATAATATCTGTGGCAAAATTTCCATACTGTCACAGATAAAAGGTTTCTCTATTAACTCATCATTCGATGATTCAATACTTGAATCCTGAGTCCTCTCATTTTGTACACGTCTCTTTGCCGTTCTTTGCTCCACTGAAGGAATGAGATCAGATTCTTTAAGTCCAATATTTGGAGTAAATACGTAGCTTTTCGATTTGAAATTGATGAGTGAAAACAACATCAGAAGGAGGAAAAGCAAAAGGAGAAGACAAAGAGCGATGCTTTTGAAGTATAAGTCACGGCATTGATGTCGCTTATATGAATGACACCTTGAATATTCCAGTCCTCTTAGTTCTGCCACAGGCTTCTTTCTAACAGCAATAGGTGTGAAACAGGTGACATTAGGCTGAACTATTGTTGGTGGGTTCTGCAGCCACTGTTTGAGGTATGCAATATGGCAATCACAGTTCCAGATGTTGTTATGGAGGCTAATAGCCTGCAGATTCTGCAATTTGTCAAAGGCTCCTGGAGCAACTGTAGTTAGAATGTTATTATGTAAATAAAGCTCTGTTGTATTTTCTGGAATAAATGGCAATTCCTGTAGACCTCTGGAGCTGCAATTAATTATCATACCCTGAGAAACAAATTTGCACTTGCAGGGTTCTGGACATAATTCAGCATTGGAAGACCTCAGGAGAAATAGCATGGCTAATCCTGGGGAAACCAGCATCCTGAAAATAAATAAATCAAAGAGAAAGAATTATATCAGCAAACAGTATTTATATTAAATAATATATAAAACTTCCTTTATATGCAGATTTTTGTACAGAGCAAATTACAAATGTCAATATATCAAAAAAAATGTGAACCATTTGGACTTACCTTCTTTTGATCTTATGTAGTACAGACTCAAAGTTAGTTCCTGTGTTTTGTAATTTACCATTTATCAAAGACACAAATATCATCCTGTGTGACTGTCAAAAAGATAAGCTATCCTTCGTGTCCAGCCTGCAGCATTTGATATCATCATAGAATCCCTACAGTGTGGAAACATAGAAACATAGAAGATAGTAGCAGGAGGAGGCCATTCAGCCCTTCGAGCCTGCTCCACCATTCTTCACGATCATGGCTGATTATCCAACTCAATAGCCTAATCCTGCTTTCTCCCTATAACCTTTGATCCCAAGTGCTTTATCCAGTCACCTCTTGAACACATTCAATATCTTGGCATCAACTACTTCCTGTAGTAATGAATTCCACAGGCTCACCACTCTCTGGGTGAAGAAATATCTCCTCATCTCTGTCCTAAATTGTCTATCCTGAATCCTCATACTATGACCCCTGGTTCTGGACATACCCACCATCTGGAACATCTTCCCTGCATCCACCCTGTCCATTCCTGTTATAATTTTATAAGTCAGCAGGCCATTCAGCCCATCAAGTTCACACTGCCCCTCAGAAGAGCATCCCACCCAGACCCACTTTATCCCTGTAACCCTGCATTTCCCATTAACCCACGTAACCTATATATACCATGCAATTTAACATGGCCAATCCACCTAACCTGCACATCTTTGGACTGTGGGAGGAAACCAGAGCACTTGGAGGAAATGCACGCAGACACAGGGAGAATGTGCAAACTCCACACAGACAGTCGCTCAAGGTTGGAATGAATCCCTGGCGCTATGAGGCACCAGTGCAAACCACTGAACCACTGTGCTGCCATAAACGTTTTGCATCATTGCATCCGCTTCCAGTATCTTTCCAATGTTGTTCACTTTCATGGGAGTACACTCGCTTGGTGCCATTCTTATCTATGTGACAGCAGCAGAGAATCACTTTTCTTCCCATTCTGGCTTGGTAACCTCTTATGTCTACAAGGATCTAGCCTTTTCTATCTACATACTGCGCCTTGGTAACATTGTCCAAAAGCACAGCATCATTTTCAATATATTTGCTATGTCACCATCATCTCTCACAATCTCTCAACTGTATTTAAATTGCCAGGCTTTTTGTCCAATATCTAGTACTAGATGAGCAGAATTTTTCTTTGATTAACTTTTAGGAAGATCAAAATCATTGTCTTTGTTTCCTGTTAGAATTTCTGTTCCCTTGCCCTGAATCCTTTCCTGCCCTGACAGCTGTCTGAGGCTAAATCCGATTAGTGACAATCTTGATGACATATTTGACTCTGAGATGTACTTCCAAACACTTACCTATGCCATCGCTAAGACTGCATACTTCCATCTCCATTACATCAACCCACTCTGTCCCAGTCTCAGTCCATCTGGTGCTGGATCCCTCATTCATGCCTTTGTTATTTTTAGACTTGTTTGTTTCAACACAATTCTGGCTGGCTTTCCATATTCTTCCATCTGTAACCTTTAGGACATCCTAAACCCTCTAACATGCACCTGCTCACATATCGCACTTATGCTCACTGATGTTTTTTTTTGTCTCCCAGTTGATCAAACCCTTGATTTTAAATTTCACATCCTTATTTTCAAATCCCTTCATGGCCTATCCCTTTGTAACTTGTAGCCTCCAAGATATCTGTCCTCCTCTAATTCTGGCCTCTTGAGCATCCTTAATAGCTCTGCCATTTCTACCAGTGCCTTCAGATGACAAAACTGTAAGCTCTGGAATTGCGTCCCTAAAGCTCTCTACCACAAAACATTTCTTTGCTTCTTTAAAATGCTCCTTAAAATCAACCTCCTCTACTCTAATATCTTCTTCAGTGACTTGGCGTCAAATTTTCTACATAATGTTCCTATGACGTGCCTTGGGACATTTTATTACTTTGAAGGTGCCATAAAAATAAACATTACTATTATCAATAGAAAGTAATGTTTGCCACATGGTAGAGCTCCATAGTCAGCATATTTTTCAACAAGTTAAATTTACTTCATTGATTCAGAGATTTTCTAGCCTGGAAGTGACAATTATAGACAACTTGAATTGATTTAGATATTAAATGAGCTACCATCAGCAGTAACCATCAGTTACTTACCACCAACTATATTTTCGGTATAAGGCATAAGAGATAAGAATTAGATTGTGCAGCACCCATTTTTCAAGTAAAAACAAATGCTGAATGAATATGTGTTCTGCACACTCTCATCCTATGTTAGGTGTGTGCTGCAAGCTATAAAGATCAGGGTGCCTGTTTTAAACAGGAGCTAGACCTATTACCCATGCAAAACAGGGTTATAATATTTTTAGACAACCTGTTCAAACATTTTATGACACATTTCCATTGCAGTTACGATTTGAACCCAGCCTTCTGGTCTAGAGGTGGGGATGCTACCACTGCACCATAAGATCTTTATTCAGAGTTTTAATGCTTATCTTGGATCCCTTTCCAAAATTGGTTCATTTGTACTTTCCAAACAAAATTTTCAGGAGAACAGCAGCCAATATGATTGCAGGAGGCTGCGGCCAAAAGAAGTAAGTAAAAGATTTATCTGAATGCTTCGTTTGCTTTGATGTTTTCTTTAAGGATAATGTATCCAAATTAGCGAAAATACTATTTTGCCATTCTGTTTTGCATCTACTTTTTGCCAGCTCTGATATCCATATGCAGCCAAAAATTGTGTTTGACAATTCAGAATTTGGAGAATGGGGTGAAGCTGCAATTATTTTGAATCTTGACCATTTTCCAGTCTTCTGGATTGTTCAGAGTGGACATTAAAAGTGGTGGAAATGGTTTTCTTCATCTGTAACAATTTTATAAATTAGACTAGTTTAACCGTGATTTGCTTTTCTAACTGGATGTTGAAAACTAGAAATCAATATCAAAAATCTTATTATCATATGTGGCATTTATTTTTACATATAGCAAGCTGCCAAAAAAATTCCAACACTTGAAAAGTTGCAACTGCTCACCTCAAACCATAAACATCTTTTGCGGCAAAATTTGTTGCTTGGTGTACTGTCTTATTTTCTTACCTCAAGGAAAACTAATTATTGTTCCTTCTACCAATCCGACAGAGATCAATGAACTTAATACAAACTGAATTCGCTGTGAGACTTCCCAGCTATTTGGTAGCTTGCTTACTTGATAAGTTTGCTGAGTCACTGAGAGAACAGTTAGCATTTTCTGAATCTACAAAGGTAAAGAGATAGTAATTTGATGGAAAATAATAAACTATTAATTTTTCTAATAACAGATGTCTAAAAGTATGAAAATGTCAATATTTTACAGAAGATGAAGGTTTCCTTTACCTTCCTTTACCTCCAAACTATTTGATGTCAATTTGAATTTTGGCTCAACACAGGACAATATTTTAAATATCTTTCTGCATCTCCTGTGGCATTCATATCAGTCAATTGGAGATTATGCTATTGCAAAGGGGTTGCTAGTATTAGACATTTGCAGAGGGTTGCACATCTCTGCTGAAAAGATTCAGAAAAACGTTTACAAGAGCTTTTCTCAGAGACCCGACGGAATAGCCAAAAAGTACCTTCCTTTCTAGTTATCTTAGCAAATAGCAAGTTACAGAGTCAATACCATATGATTCTAACACAGACTAATTGCCCCTCGGTGAAACTACCTGACAGAGTGAGTTGTGCTGACAGAATCAATGATGCAAGGGGTGAGATTATAATACAGAAACATGTCAGTGAGTTGCCTATTGGACTTTGTAGTTATCCTGCAATATGAATATGAGACATAAAACTAAATATTGAAGGCTTCTGTGGTAGAGGAATTGAACCCAGCACCCCACACAAGCCGAGACAAAGGCAATCCTGAATTTCCAAGACATAATTTTCTAGCGGTTCAACCTACTCATTACAATAATGTAAATGGGCTAAACTAACTTTTTAATTTCAACATCAAATTAAACCTTCACCTTCAAAACCTAAATTAGAGCAGTGATAATCCATAAATGACAGTTTCAATAGTGCTATTTATAAGTGAAATTTTCTTAATAGCACAAACTTCAGAAAATTAACATACCTACCTTTACATCTTATATAAATTTGCAAAGTTGTTGAATTATTTTTCTGCATGCTTCAGAAATAGGAGAACTGGCATCTCCCCAGTGGTCGACATCTGCTTCTCAGTGATATTTCCAGATCAGTACAAAGCAGTAGATTCAATTAGTTGTCCGCAATCATGTGTCTACGTGACCAAGTACAAATAATTAAGGGCTATTCTAATTGACAGCTGTACAACAAACATTTTTTAATCACTAATATGATCAGGCAGCTGCAGCACTTTGATGTGCGGTTATGCTAAGCATGTCACATGATGGAGGGGAAACCAAATGTTTTGAGAAGATAACAGCTACTTAACTAACATGCCTAACCACCGCCTAGCTTTAAGAAATAGCTTGAATCGCTCACATTTTATTACCAGGGTTAAAATATGAGGGCTAACATATTTTTGTGTTTCTATAATTGATGTAAAACACAACATACAAATTTTAAAAGTGTCTAAATTATGGGGTGGCCAAGTACTCTGCTTATCTAGTATTAAGTATACGTATGAAATTGTCATGCAGAAGTTTAAAAGAAATTAGAACATTCATGAAAAAGCTAATGATGGATTTGATGCAGGAACAGAGAGACACAGGATTCTTAGATTTAAGACGTAACATATGCAACAGCATCACAGAAAAATCTATTCTTAAAATCAACATACCAATACCTATTCCAAGAAATATGGCAGACTGTTTTCTTTATCCACTTTGTCTGTCTCAAATTTATCCTTATCCACATATTGTCCCATGCAGTTGGAATAACTGTGGGTGTAGTTTATCATATTTAGTTTTGAAGATCCTAGCCATTAGACTTTTTGGTTGATTTGCCAGTGAGATATTTTAAGTTTGTGTTCAAGAACCCCATTGCATGATGGTTTTCTCTTCTTTCAGACCATTTCCAGCGAAAGTCATCCTCTGGAGGAGACACAAGTACAACTTGGGCCAGAATTTAGATTCAGGAATTTCACTTGAGTGTTTATATTTTTGAGATTGTCAGTCTGCTCCATTTTTTAAAAAAAGGTACTTACCAAATTATTAAGAATGTTTTAGTCCACACCACAATGGTGAAACACATCAATTTACTGCAAAAAGTACAAAAGGAAAGATTTAAACTCCTATAACCCAGCAGAATTAAAATTAAGTTAGTGACTCATGGCCCCTTTCCTGTTCCATGGGTTTTCCTCTCACAGCCTTCCACTCGCTAGTTCAGACACCAGGCAGAATTAGTCGGGTGTTTCAGGAACCTACACGAATTGTGATCAGCGACGGGAACAGGATTATCTCTGTGTAGGGAGTGAGGAGTCTGATGTTGGCCACCCCTCCAACAGTCTGGGCCCAGTCCTGAACTGTTATCTCCTCAAATGAGATAAAGGGAGGGACTGAGTGAGCTTTTATTACTGTCTGGTAGAGTTTTTAGTACTGTTGCTCCTGGTTGAAGGGTGGTGAGGTGTTCATGGGTACTGAGCAGGCAGTGTAGAGGCCATGCAGCATTAATATTGTGGGAGGTTAGGGAGTTTGAAAGCGAGTGAGAGAAAATGTTGCAGACAACAGTAGGAGCGGTACAGCTTGAGCCTTGGAGGGAGGTGGGTGCAGTAGCAGAGATAGAGTGAGTGTAAGGTAGTAGAGAGAAGAGTGTGGCACTCACGCTGGTGGAACAGAGGAGACTGCTGAACTTCCTGCGGCATTGTCACCCGCTCTTCCACACCCTGGAGACTGCACCGACCTGGGTGGCAAGCTCAGACCAGGCTGCCAGGGTCTGGCATTGTGACCTTCTCTGCTGGTCCTCTGGGAATGGAATACCCACCTCTGCATCAGCCCCAACTCTAGGACCTCCAAGTCCCTGTCAGAGAATTGTGGCGCCAACTTCCACTTATATGATATCTTTGTACTGTGTCCATCACTGAGTAGGGCAAAAATAAACAAAGTTGCTTGAAAAGCTCAGCGGGTCTGGCAGCATCTGTGAAGGAAAAAACAGAGTTAACGTTTCGGGTCCAGTGATCCTTCCTCCTCTGTTCTGCTGAGCTTTTCCAACAACTTTGTTTTTGTTCCTGATTTGCAGCATCCGCAGATCTTTCGGTTTTTATTTACTGACTAGGGCAGCTTTGGAATGTCACTGCTCGCCTGGTTGCATCATGGCCTTTTAAATGTGGCTTGGGCATCGGGGATGCTAGTCTCTCAGTAAATACCCACTGAGTAGCAAGTTGTTTTAGGAACAGTGCTTTTCTGAAATATTGTGTCCAGTTCTGATCACCTTGTTATAGGAGGGATATTATCAAGCTGGAGAGGGTTCAGAAGAGATTTTCCAGGATGTTGCCAGGTGTGGAATGTTTGAGTTATAAAGAAAGGTTGGATAGGCTGAGACTTCTTCCACTGGGGCATAGGAGGTTGAGAGGCGACCTTATAGACATTTATAAAATAATGAGGGGCATCAATAGAATTAATGATAGATGTCTTTTCCCTAGGATAGGGGATTTCAAGACTAGGGGGCACATTTTTAATGTGAGAGGACATAAGAGGCAATTTTTTACATAGAGGGTGGTTCGTCTGTGGAATGAGCTTCCTAAGGGACTGATGGATGCGGGTACAATTATAATGTTTAAAAGACATCTGGATAGATATATGAATATAAAAGGTTTGGAAGGATATGGGCCAGGGCAGGCAGGTGGGACTGGTTTAGTTAGGCATGGACTGTTTGGACTGAAGAGTCTGTTTCCGTGCTGTGCAACTCTATGACTCTATAAGTTGTGACATTCTTGGAGAAAAGAAGATAAAGAGGAGATTTGAAAGAGGATTATAAAATCATGAGTGGGTGGATAGAGTAGAGAAGGATAAACTGTGCTCAGTCATAAAAGGAATAAGAACAAGACTTATCAATTTAAAGTGGTCTGCCAAAGAAGCAAGGGTGAAGTGAGGAAAAATCTTTTCACTCAGCAAGTAGTTAGAATATGGAATACGCTGCTTGGAAGGGTTATGGAGGCAGGTTCAATTGAGGAATTCGAAAGGACATTGAATGATTATTTTGGACAAAATTAACGTGCGTGGGTATGGCAATAAAGCAGCAGTTTGGCAATAGATAATGATGCTCATTTTAAAACTGAAAGAACTGAGGATGCCATAAATCAGGAACAAAAACAGAAGTTGCTGGTAAAGCTCAGCAGGTTTGGCAGCATCTATGAAGAAAAAATAAGAGTTAATGTTTCGGGTCCAGTGTCCCTTCCTCAGAACTGATGGTGGCTGGGAAAACATCAGTTTGTATG